GGTCCTGCCATTCAGGTTGGGTATAGATGCTGGGTGATCAGGTCCCTTTCTGTGAGCTTGTGTCCTGCCATTCAGGTTGGGTATTGATGCTGGGTGATCAGGTCCCTTTCTGTGAGTTTGTGTGGCAAAGTTTGTCACAACTAAACTTGCTTCCAAACGTTTCCGCTTCTGTCACTTCATTTTTGGTAGACAAGGATAGCCGGAAGGGCGGAAATTTAGCAAACTGGCGCCAAGTTAATCTCTCCTGTACAGCCACCCATTCTGCTGTCAATATTTATTTACGGAGATTGCCTGACCGTGTGCTTAATTATACATGTGTCTCAGCAATGGGTGTGGCTTAATTAGTCAATTCCTCTAAGTAACAGATGTGTTACATGTGCATATCTGATCAAATGTGTAGGGACTGAAGGATGGAATGCACATCCATGCTCAGCAGTGTCACCAATAAAAGAAATTGTGAGCTTTTGATACATGAGGTAAGCAGAAAAACATTGTTACAACCTCAGAAAGGCCAATATAGTTGCTTTGCACATCACAGAGATGTTGAGATCAACAAAATAGCCCCCCATAAACAGCATACGAGCAAAAGAACATACAGTGCTACAGTTATTAGGGGGACCTGGTTTCCAGCAAGGTTGCATGCTTGGTAGTAACACGGGGTATTAGAACATTTTATTACAAACGAATGTTTCCGTATGAAGGGTTTAGTGTGGGGAAGAAAACCAGGCAGATCAGGGAATCTCAGAAATCTCAAAGTTTCATGCAGGCCTTAGTTTTCAGATGATTATAAGAGAATTGCAAAGTAAATAATTATTTTTTCCCTTTACTGCATCCATGGTTTTGATTTTTTTTATTTGAATTTTATATCACATTCAATTTTAATTTGAAATCCAGGCTAGTTTTAGTTAGTTTTCAGCATGGTTTTATTAATTTGTATTTTAAACATATATTTCTATTTCATCTATATATACTGTACAGTATATTTAATTTTATTTATAGGGATAGAATGAAAGTTGAGGAGCTATTTTATGTGTCTGTTGATCTTTAGAGATTCCAACATGAATACACAGTGCACATTATACTAATAAAGCTGAAAATGGAGAAAACATGTTTCAGGTATTATTAAAGGCAATTAAACAAATCATTGCTTTAGCTAAATAGTATTTAAAAATGGTAGCAGAAACTATTTGATGTTTGTTTTTATTCCATTTGTTTAGTTTTTTAAGCAATATTTATAGTTTTTATTTAGTTTAGTGTTTAGTTTTTTAAGTACATTTTTGGGTCTCATTTTAGTTCACAAACATGTTTTCTCGTAATTTTAATTTTCATTAACAATAATAACCCTGGCTGTAAAGCATTGCAGTATACCTCAATGCCGGCGTAAACGGCGTGCCCTGTGCTGTAAACGTTGGCCAGAGTAAGATGCAAGGTGGAGATATGGAGGACCAGGCTTCCTGGTTTTCCTGTGGTCGCTTCTGGATGCACCTGAACAAGTCACATTCAGATCGTCTCCAAGCCACATGCTGTTCATTGATACGTCCCACATCAGACATCTGCACTAGACAGCAGGATGACAAGAAGCTGAAGCTGGCCAGTTATTCTATTAGTGCGTGTGAAATAGTGAGAACCTGCCACATGATAACTTCACATTCCTGTTCAGTCACACAGATTTTTGCCTAAATAATAATTTTTGAAAAACCCTTATATTGAGGTGCAACAGGAAAGAGGTGAAATGATCTCTTCAAAGAGCCTTTAGTTCATACTGCAAAACAGCATTTATGTGATTTAGTCAACAATAAGCGGTTTCACGTCTGTCTAGACCATTTAAATGATGCACCTTTAATGCTTTCTGCCCTGGATTTGCCTGTGTGTGAACTCAACAGAGCAGCAAGTCCAACATTCTGGAAATCAGAAAGCATGCATGCATGGGCCAGCAGCACACACACGGAGCTGGGGAGAGACTGGAGCCCCAGCCAGGAGGTGTGAGGTCACAGTGCTGCCCAACAAGAAGCCAGTAAAAGGAAAAACAAAATCCCTTTTCAAACCATTTAAAAGATAATCCATCTATTTTCTAAACAATTATCCTGATCAGGGTCACGGTGATTTTGGAGCCAATCCTAGGAAGCACAGGGCAGAAAACAACACACACATGCACACACACACACACACACACATCGGACACACACACACACTCATCGGACACACACACATGCACACACACACACATCGGACACACACACACACACACTCATCGGACACACACACATGCGCGCACACACACACACACACACACTTATCATACACACACAAACACATTTGTATTCATATCTTTGTGCATTCATTTCTATGGGCAAAACCCTAATCCTAACAATGACAACCTTCGCCCTGTGTTGGTGGGTTCTCCCTGTGTTGCATATTCTCCCTGTGTTGGTGGGTTCTCCCTGTGTTGCATATTCTCCCTGTGTTGGTGGGTTCTCCCTGTGTTGCATATTCTCCCTGTGTTGGTGGGTTCTCCCTGGGTACTCTGGATTCCTCCTGCAGTCCAAAGACATACAGTTAGGCTAACTGGTTTTCTCTATATTGGCCATAGACTGTGGGTGAATACGTGCACTGCAATGGACTGGTGTACCTCAGCCCTGTGCTGCCTGGGGTAGACTACAAGTCACCTTGTAACTCTGACCTAGTGGTTAGAAAATGAATGAGTAAACTTTAAGAGTAGGTCAAATATTCACAAAGACCAAAACATGCAGAGACATGGAGGCTGTAACTGGCTTTTCACTGAAACAGTCCTCCTGATTCAATCTTGTGGTAAAATATACTGCCAGGGAATGACTTTTTTTTTGTGTTCTCTTGAAAATCTCTCTCAGAAAAGTGCAATGCTAACTTGCATTCTCAGATAGTTTCGGCTATATTGACATTTAAAAAGTATATGAAAAAATAAGTAATGTACATCTTGCACTAAATCATCAAAAGTTTAAATTGACCATATTATAAATTCCTCACACATTTGTTAAAAAAAAAAAAAAAAAGATTTCAAACTGTAATCCACTGCATACAACCAAAAACACAGAAAGTCCTCAAGGTAACTTAACTACTACGTTTTTAAACTGACTAAGAGTAGGAGCATAAGCTAATCTACAGTGCTGTCTGTCAGTAGCTGACACCGATCTCCTCTGTTGTTACTCCAGCAGTGTGTGGAAGTGAAAGGCAGTTGAAAGCCAAACTTCAGGCTAATTTATGCTTCTCTATAGAATCCACACCATCAGGGACGGTATAGCCAAGTGCTCCATGACGTAACCTGATGCCTGCCGTTGCAGTTCTTGGGAGATCTGCATCAGGCTATATCGTAGGGTACTCAGCTCTACGGCCCTCAGCCATAGCTGACAGTGTAAATTCGACACAGAACTAAAAACCAGCCTTGCGACACAGCTAGTAAAGCTGCCGAACACCATGTTTGCAGCGTCACAAGCCTCCGCCAGACTCAGGCTCCCTGGAAGAAGGTGCCGCTGTGCTTTGATTATTAATTAGCACCTCGTTGGGTTTGTTTAGCTGTTTGTTCGCTATTCGCGCCTGGTTCTGCTTTTAATGGCTCACACGTTCTCCAGCTCAGTGCATTTAGTCTCAGTGGCAAAAAAAGAAAACAAAGGAAAAGTACCCCGCACTGGCACTGGACTCGCCATGGTGGTCTTTGCTTGTGGACCAGACCGAAGTAAACAAATTCATCATCGTCGCATGAAAATCAGCAGCGGTTAGAGCAGGAAACAGTGGCAAGAGTTACAAGTGAACAACAAACCCGAAGAATGTGCTTCATTGAGCACACAAGACATCTGAAATCATTTTCACCTTTTTTTTTTTACATATTATCCCTTTATACTCTTACTACTCATGTGTAATACGTTTTACAGTGTTTCCCGACTCGGTCCTCGGGGACCTGCAGACAGTCCACATTTTTGCTCCCGCCCCAGCTGGGAGGGAGCAAAAATGTGGACTGTCTGGCAGGGAGCTGGAAGGGAGCAAAAATGTGGACTGTCTGTGGGTCCCCGAGAACCGGGTTGGGAAACACTGTTATAAAGTGTGTCTGATTCACACCAAGGTGTCATATACAACAATAAAGGGTAAATAGATATACCTTATTTACACTGCACACACGTCCTTGGTCTTCCTCCAAATCTGTTGCTTTTAGTCTTTTATCTGAGCTTAGTAATACAGTTATATGTTGGTCATGGGTTATTTTATTATTAATTTCATAGCTACTTTCATTGAAGTGAAAAACGAAGGAAATATTACAGATTTACTGTCATTTCATTTAACAATCTCTTTGAGGAATTGAGAGAAAGTACGATGGTTTTGCTGGGAAGTGAATTGCAGGGCACTGAGATAAAATAAACAAAAAGGAGGAACAATGGGTTATAGCATTACTCCAGCCAAACGCGGCCCTTTGGAAATGTCTGGAAAAATGTCCTTTCTTGTGGAATCTGAGTGGAGAGGAAGGTGTTGGTGGCACAGGGTGTTTACATATGCTACTGTTCAAGACACCAAAATTGCTTTAAAAAGAGCTGCAGTGGAAATGTGGTTTGCGTATGAAACAACCTGTCATGTCATTGAAGGGGGCGGGTCGAGTGTAATACTTTAGAGATATATAAGAGCAACTGGGGATGATGGTGAATGTATGGCTCATTTGGTTAAGCGTTTGCGTCTATAATCAGAAGGTTATTGGTTCAAGCCTCAACCTTGAAGAGTCATGTGTCAGTTGGGCTCTTGAGCAAGCCTCTGAAGCTGTTGGGTAAAAGGCCAGACCCTATGCTTGGACCCAACTTCTCAATTGTGTGTGTGTCTCCTTCAGCATGGCTGTCGGGTTTGTGTTTATATATATATATATATATATATATATATATATATATATATATATATATTTATTTATTTTAAAAAAGCATTTCAATGAACCTGTACAAATAAAGCATCATTTCATAAGTAGTGGAAGGTCTGACAGCAATGCTTACTTAAGAAGCTCTAGTTATTGGTGTCCTATCCATGGTGTCTCCATGCCTTGTATCTTCTGCTTCCTGCAACAGGCCCCAGCATCACTGCAGCTTAAAGGTGAAAATAGTGAAGTGGCAATTTCATCAGTATAATAAAATGAAGAAGGAGTGCAATGGCTATTGGCTATAATAAAACAAAGCGTTCATCCAGGAGTAGAAGATAATGTTATACGTGAAATTAAGCGTATCTCAATCACGCGTACTTCACGGTCTGTAGACTCATTCCCTTTAAAAGAAGCATCAGATTTTCAGTTTCCTGTATCTGTTCCTTGGTTTCAGCTAATGGTGTGTGCAGTTGTGTGCTGACCTTGAGTGCGAGGAAACACAGGGGTCTTAAAACCATTTATGTCTTTAAAACAATTTTTAAATGTTACATTATGTCGGTGTCAAGCTTGGCGTACAGTACATGAGAAAAACAGGTCCAGGGCCAGTTCCAGGAAGCACCCCTACCCTTCGCAACCTGTCCAGTGCTCCTTGTGTCCATCTTTCCAAACAAAAGAGACTCTTCACTTTCTTCCGCTTCTGCATTGTTAGAACAGAAACCCAAGCCCCCGCAATGGAAGTCAAAACCCTAATGGGATAAACAGCAAGCTGAAAAGCCAAGGTTTCATTATAGTCCAGAGAGAGTCCCTCCTGGTCGGCCAACAACCTCAGCTGGGTCAGGACACTATCATTTGCTTGCTCCACTGCTTTGTTTTCCTTACTCTTCCAACCACCTGAGATCCAGTTTATCCACTTAACCATCCAGAAGACATTCAGTACGCCAAACAATATTATACTGGCAGCAACAGACCTCCGTACATCTGGTTAAACACTTGAAATTCTGCGTTTGGGACTTTGTAAGTGGTTAAATGGTTTTTACATTTTCGGATGAGTGATATAGCCTCATTCTCCCTTTTCTGCATTCTGATTGTTCTAAGGTTTTGCTAGCTGCCCTTATAATTTGCTAATTTAGCCACATTGTGGAATTTTGTACCAGTCTGAGGAGACACACTCAGTTAACTTATGTACCTAAATAAATTCTTACACCTTCCTCTAAATGTCAAACACCCAACTTTGCAATGAACAACAGAAAACCATAAGCATGAAAGGAAAGTAAATAATAGTGTTCAAAATCGATGGTCACACGTCGCTATTAACAGAACCCATTGTTTCAGCATCTGTGTTTTGGGTAAACATTGAAGGTTGGCATATGCAGGCAGTCCGCGGTTAAATAACGACCGACTTATGGACAACTCATAGTTATGGATTTCCACAAAGCCTATAATATTACACATTTAAGTTAAATATAATGGTTGGTAATAACAAATGCACACCCTACTTTGTGACACTCACGAAAGCATTGCACGGCTTCAGTGGTTTATCAGCTCGAGTACTGTACTTCGTTACTTTTATTATTATGTACTAAATAAATTTAGTACATAATAAATAAATTTAGCTACAAATCGGACTTAAAGACAGATTTATGAACGGATCTCGTTTGTAACCTGTAGCCTGTATTATTCTGTGAGAATCTACCACATTAGCACAATTAATTTCAGTTCTTGTGATATTTACCACCTGTTTTTTGTCTAATATTTTATCCATGTCCACTTGTAAGTTTAAAGCTATGACATTTTTGAATGTCGTTATTCTTCATTCATATAGTATAAAATGCTCACTTTATATATATACACCAAGGAAGAATTTTTTTCAGCATGCATAAAATCTAGAGGTTATATGGTTTAGGAACATCTAAAATAGCTCAGATGTTTCTCATTCAGACTTAGGAAATGTCTCTTACTTCAGTTGCTTTTTAAGCATCTCAACCATCTATTAAGTGCTAACATGGTACAGGGTCATAATGAGGCAGAAGTCTATCCAAAGAAGCATGGGACACAAGGCAGGGGGACACCCTGGATGGGACACCAGTCTGTCACAGGGCACACACACACACTATGGGCAATTTAGAGATCCCAGGTCACCCAAATGCATGTCTTTCAACTGCAGAAGGAAACCACAATAAAAGGAGCAAACCCACCTAACATGCTGAGAACATGGGAATCAAGACCCCCAGCGCTGGTGGTGTGAGGCAACAGTGCCACCCACTGAGCCACTGCCCCCCCCCCCCCCCAATTTAAGCACCCTCTGTTGGAAGAAACCTTTCATTCTGCCATTTTCCCATGATGCCAGTCTCAATTTACCGAGTGATCCAACAAGCTTTCAGCACTGTCTGGTTTAATACGCTTTGCAAAGCTGACAACATCACAGACTATAGACTACTGCTATTTTCATGGACCGTTTCAAAATAAAAACTGGACTCGATGTGCCAGTTTGTTTGTTGAAGACGGCAGCAGCCATTAAAATGGTGCTTTGTTATAGTCACACGGCTGGCAAAAAGCCAAGTTAAAAGCTCGTGGAGCTTCTTTCGAAAGCTTTGCCGAGGGAAAGTACAAACGGTCTTTTCCTAAGGAGTAGTTCTGAATATTTTTATTACACCCTGTACTTTCCACTGGATGAAGGTCTCGAGAAGAAGTGGTCACATGATGTGTCATTGTCACAGAGGACACTTCAGACTTACACAGGAAGCGGGTCATGACCATTTTTCAAAACCAATGGCAAATACAACCAAGGAATACTGTTTTGATGGAGAACGCTTCCTTTTAGCCTGCTTCCTCAGTATAACCTGCAGAAATTTTGCAGAGCTCTAAGTTAGTTTCACAATTTCCACCAGTGTAATGAATGTTCTACGACACAGAAGGACAAGATAGGAATGATGGTTATACAAATACATCCCATCAGAGTCTGCCGCAGCCGCAATCCCAATCCTGATAGCCTGTGGAGTGAAGCACCATCATCTCTGGAAGACGATAGTGTGACGTCTGTGTGCTGTCATTGTGAAAACAAAGGAACCCTCACAAACTAAAACAGACACCTCTCTTTCAGACTGAAGGGGCTGTTAATCATGCTGCTGACTGCAGCGTTATATCTCTGGTGAAGAGGGTTATTAAAATAGTCACCCTTTTTTATATACATTAAAAAAAACATACTTGTCATTGGCCGGTACTGATCGTTCCACAACCTTCTGTGAAGTAAAATCAGCTTTGGCATATTTCATCATGGACAATAAGAGACTTGGAAATCTTATTCAGACAAAAAAGAGAGAGAATTTGACATTTTTCATACATCTGGGATAAAACAGCCCCAGGGCTGAGTAACTTCAAAAAGGAACCTTCTACAACTTGTCGTTCTTCAAACATTCTGCATGGCCATATCACAGTGAGATGTTTCCATTGACTTTCACATTGGTTCTGATGATGGCCTGCTGACATTCACTGGCAAGCGGCAGAAGGTTTAGGGGCCAAGAATGGCGTCAGTGCCGAGGAAAGGCGTCTTCCTCTCCATCCCACAGGTACTCGTGGCTGACTTCAGTTCTCCATAATCGTACTTACACTCAAGATTTCAGTTTAGACTACAGCAATCAAGGGCCTTTGGTACAATAACAATGATCAGTAGAAATGTTAACTGGAAATCAGACTCACAGTATTTATTGCAGAAATGCAAACTAAAAATTAATAATGACAAACTTAAGTCAGCAAGTTGGCTGTAATATAAGGACATGGACAGAACAGGCACCTTAACATAGTTCATGTTGGATTTTTACTCTTTTTACACCAACTTAGACTTCACAATAATGATAGCAAGTGGTCCATCCAGTTAGCAGTGGAAGATATCGTCGTCCCCACATCCCCACTTACTAAACACAAGAAACGAACTTACCTGCTCTAAGGAGCTGTTGATTGGCCAATAGGTCCAAGAGGTCTCATTGTACAAGCCAGTCAAATGAACATTTATTTCTCACTCAGAGATGTTCATGTGCGGCATGAAATGTCTCACAGTTCCTCTCTGCTGTCATCCTGCAGAAATTAACCTGTTGCCGGCCGCTTCCTGCGAATTGATTGGTTCAGCAGTAGATCTCTTTCCAAGAGATCCAGTCCCAAACTTGCTTTAAATAAATGTGCTGGTTGCAATTAGGTAAGTGAAATATAACTTACTCTACATTCTTAGAATATTCTTGGCTCATTCTCCACGGTTTGGCTCCCGTGATGGAAAAGTGGGGCCCCCCCTCGCCAAATTGAGAACAGGAGCCAAGTCTACGTATTAGGCTACGTAGAGGGGTCGGCCGTGATGTGTGTATATCACAGAAAAACAAGGAAGAGCACTCGGCAGAAAACGCGGAAATTCCTCCAGCGCGCTAGTGCCGGCAGGGTGTTGACTTTGGATAGGTGTGACATTCCGTATTCCCGCCCCGCTCCAGTGCATCTGGCACTGCGGACGGCCGTTTGACAAAGGCCCGGGCTCCAGAACAAACCGGAGCAGTTCAAATGTCACCGGCTCTAATTAAAGCTGCAGACTCAGATGCGGGGGCACGTCGCCGCTGGCGATTTATCGTGGCGTTCGTCGAGCGCGAGTCCTCACCTCCTTAGGCGACAATTGATTTCTCTTCTCCTGGCTCTCCCAGCATTGAGCGAATTTATTTATTTTTTTCGTAAGATTGGAAGACCGTCCTGATACAAACGTGCCAGTCCTCCTAGCTCCTACAAACAAGGTTCTTGATATAAATTAGCATTTCAGTTTGAACAGGTTAAAGGGGGCTTAGCCCAACGTCCATTTGCAATTTAAAGAAACAGCTGACACCTAAACAGCAGGTGCCAAGATCGGCTTATTCTGAAGACATTCAACAGACTGGCTAACGGAAGCGAAGGGACCACTGGAATCCAAGCAGGAATGTTAAAAACAGACGACTGCTTTATCAATGCGGAATGCGAACGGGGGAAATTTCCACTACATATAACTGCAAACCACATTAACTCCAACAGAGACCAAACTGCCAAATCCAGCCACACCATTTTGTGATGGTATGATCTCCGATGTCACAGTCAAAGACCGAGATGGGGACGATTTGATTACGGCCGTCTGATAGCGCTTGGTTAGAGAGGAGGATAAGTTAATGGTTTGATAGTTACTGAAAAAGGAAATCACAGCAGAGTCTGATTGTTGAAAGGACAGCGATTCCAGAGGACAGACCGCAAAGTTAATGCAGTCCACATGTGAGACGTTCTGCTCTAGGGGCAACCGCACGCAGCAGAACACGCCTGCAGACTCCACCCACGCAGTCCATCAGGGGCGTCTGGGACTCTGTCGGGCTCCTGCTGGTCACGGGGTCACTCTGCAGAAGAGTGATGTGCATCCATGTCACTGACCGCCCTACAATGTGAAGGACACAGCAGAGTGCCCTCTTACAAGAATCCACATTCTCTGTTTGCGTCTGTATATCTGTTCATGCATCCTGTGTGGCTCATTGAACAATGGAGGTTATATATAAACACAACACACATATGATATACAGCTGTGGAAAAAATTAAGAGACCACTCTACATTTTTAAACAAATCTGCATTTTTAAATCCTAGTTTAATCCTGGCTAAGCAGCAGATTGCTTCCAGGTTCAAAATTTCTAAGGTGTTGTTCAAACAACAAGCAGTAGACACTGGGAATGACCAGAAACCTGCCAAGTACAGGGTAGAAGTTCTAATGTCAGAGATGAACGTTAACTTATCCAACAGTTTCTCATGAATAATAAGATGACATCAAGTGATCTTCAAAAGGAATTTATATATATATATAAATTCACAGTCAGACAAAAAATTTTCCCGTGGGTGTATATCGGTTTAGTCATTCTCAAATACAAGGTTAAGCGGTACAAGCGGTATTGAAGATGAATGATTGTTAACTTCTTTCAGCAATTAAAAAGGCCAACAGGATGTTGGGTTACATCTCTGCGTGTGTGGAGTTTAAGTCAGGGGAGGTGATGCTAATACTATACTATTCCTTGGTAAGACCCCACCTAGAATATTGTGTGCAGGCTTGGTCACCATACCTTAAAAAGGACATTGCTGCCTTAGAAAGGGTTCAACGTAGGACTACAAGAATGATTCCTGGTCTTAGAGGTCTTCTGAGGAGAGATTAGCTGAGCTGAATTTGTTCAGCCTCGAGCAAAGGAGGCACTCTCCATATATTTGATATGTTTTCATATGTTTTTTCCTCACCTTGGTATGGAGAGCCATTATCTGGCCGGAAGTCTCGGTCACAGTTACACGTGATCCACTGAGAACGAGATTAATTCAGGTTTCGTGTCTGTGAATGTGAACCCAAATGAGGAAAGCAAGCTCTCACCCATTGTCCGCTCTGTAGCTATGAAGAACAGAGCCAATTCGGGTGGTTTCATTTTTGGGTCTATTAAGGCTGACAGACTGAAAAGCTAATGGCCGGAAAGATAGTGGTCCAGTGCAATGCTAGTCTCATATCAATGCCACTGAGTTGTGTCCATGCATAATCACTGCTGCACAGGCGATTCCCAACGGCACGTAAAAGTTCAAGTGCCGGCGGGTCATGCTCATTGATGACCGGCAGCGGTAAAATCTGCTGCCGTCGACATTAAACTATATTAGCGCAAATTTGCCTTGACTCGGTACATGTTCTTGAGCTCGTTAAACATGTCTGGACCCACTTCGCCACGTTTAATAAAACCGCAGACTCCGAGTTCTGTTCGAGTCCCCTCTCCAACAGTGGAAAAACTCAAAGAAAATAGCCTGGGTATAAATCCAATTTTTGACCACAAAGAAAGCTGAGACATAGTTTGAAAATCTGGTATTCGTCCCGTTACAGAACTGAAAGCATCCTAGTTCTCTTCGTTATGTGAACAGCTGAGAACATGGGGATGCTGTATAAACGTGTTAGTTATACCTCAACCTAACAGCAACAACGAAAATAAAGTGGATGAGATCTCTGTAATATATTCGCAATTAAGCAGGTTATGTAATCCGACTTTTACCATTCGCTGTAGTACTGTGAAGGCATCCTTTCGCAGCCACAGTTATTACTGTTACACAGGTCATTCCGGCATATATGCATCACTAGTCAAAAGTTTGGACACACCCACCTATAGAATGGTTACTTTGTTCTACTATCTACATTTTATATAAAGACATCAAAACTACAAAATAACATATATTATGCATTGACCAAAAAAGTATCTTAAAAAATAATAATTCATTTTGGGGGGGCAACTTTTTGAGTTGGGAATCTATTCAAATCCCGTGGTTGGCAGAGTGATCCCACCATTGGGCCCTTGAGTGAGGCCCTTAACCCCAATTGCTCCAGGGACTGACTGACCCTACTGTCCCCTCTATGCCAGTTCCATGAGGCGGCCTCCTGGGATGCTTTTCCAACTGTCCTGAAGGAGGTTCCACATACATACTGAGCACTCATTGGCTAATTCTCCTTCACTCTCTGGTGAAACTCTTCCCTAACCATCTCTGCTGTGTTTAGGTCAGGTGGCCAGGTCATGTGATGCAACACTATAACTCTCCTTTTAAGGCGGCTTGGCGTGTCCAAACTTTTGACTGGTACAGTATATACAGTGACAGTGAAACATGCTTCAAGCTGAAGTCTTAAATGACTGGCCTTCTGCTCAGACGAGAGTCACATATGTGGGACGGTGTCTCAAGAAACATATATACCTCAGCAACGCGAGCGAGTAGAGCCGCTCGAGACTCTGGTAGAACAGAATGTCAGCACTGAAAAAGGTTCCAGACAAATGGCAAAGGAAACGTTGATGGTCTACTGGATCAAATCGATAGATGGCCATTCATGGTCTTTGTTCTAAGCCATCATTCATTATCTCTGAAGGTAGGGGGACAGGAAGGGACCAGGGACGCAGTTTAAAATGCTAGGACAAATAGCCAAAGTGAACTCGCCCCATCAGTTACTGGTAGCAGAGTCAACGTACCTAGAGGTGGTTCACCACTCTTTGCTTACATTTACAACAACCGTCTCTGAGACTAGTACTGAGGACTAATGCTGAGGATTTTCTGCTGTTCTTACTCATAAACCTCTGTTTCTTTAAAAAAGTAACTGAAATAATATTGACTCAAATAATATGAAAAGCTAGTTTCTTCTTTCATGGGATCATATTATTGTTTTACTGTAAAGTTAGACTGCTATTCATTCTTGGATCTCACTTTTAGTTCACTTGGGGTCTTTTCATGGTTTTTCTAGGGCTCATGTATTTATAGAACTCAGAATAAATACTGAGCTATCCAAAATACTGTTAAAATATGACCAACGATCAAAGCATATTATAAGCTAGATTTCTATTTAATGCCATGTAGTCGATTGTTTTCACTGTCTAGACTTCAGTGGTATAAAGCGTGAAGGGTAACAGAAATTCTTGCAAATGCATTGGGGGAAAAAATTGCATCACCTTAGAAAGGGCTGTAAAATTAAGTTAAATGTGGCGAAATGAACTTGCCGTGAAAACTGACAGAAATAAGAGCATAGGGATAATTAAAGTGTGAGACAACATGGAAAAGAATGTCTTAAATGTGTAAACTTTAGACGAGAAGGCATCGCAGTAGTATTTTATATCTGCTTTTATTAGATCTGGGTGATGTCAGAATGAAAAGCAACTTGCCATTTTTAGTTGAAGTTAGCAGCTCCAGCGTGTCTCCGTAGCACCACCCTGGAGCTGTGGTCACGGTGGCTACGGGGGCAGAGGAAGCGGTAGGTCAGCCGCTGGGGCTGTGCAGCAGTCTGAGGAGAAAATAAAAAGCCCTCTGTGTAGAAACGTTGTCCTCGCTTGAATCCCTGCCTTCTAAAAATAAACGAAGAAACGTGCAAAACACACCAAGCGGGCCGCCTTTGATCCCCTCGCATACGGGGCGCGCGAGAGGACACTGCGCGCGAATTCGGCGCGATCGGCAGCCGTTTGCGTTGCCCACGCAGCCCTATTCACGTGCCTGCGTCCCCGCTCGACTTCGACTTTGTCACGAGCCGTAGAACTTTTCAAGTCTCGGGTTACGTGCAAATCGGACTTATTTTCAGTTCTTTATGATGCAAGATATTGGCCTGGCAGGCAAATATCAACGACGCAGGAGAAACAGATTTTTACAACGCCGGCATGTGCAATTACTTCGTCCATTGGTGTTAGGCTACAGACAGAATGTTTTATATAAGAAACTGACACATTTTGTACGATGAACTGAAATACATGAACTTTTTTTAGTATGGTTGTGTTAGTTATACCTCAACCTAACAGCAACAACAAAAATAACGTGGATGTGTTCTCTGTAATATATTCGAAATTAAGCAGCTTATGTAATCAGACTTTTACCATTTGCTGTAGTACTGTTTTAATTTTGAATGACATATTTATCGTTGGTGAATCCTGTTGAAAATCACTGTTAAATAAAAGAAGTTGCATTAATTAGCAATAAATTAAAATGAAACCTTTTTTCCCTTCCACTCAGGTTCCATAAGGCTCACAGTTCTCAGCTGGGCATGTGGTTTTGTTTAGCTTTGTGGAAAGGTTAAATAGGAAACTTGGATGAGTGAAAAAAAATTGGGATCTTTATAAGACAAAATTTGCTTAGCCTCTAATGTGTTTTCAAACTCAGGTTTAACCCTTATCAGCTTCTCTGTTTATTGCAGCACACATTAACACTGGAAATGTAACAAATACACATTTGTCTTCACTGACATAGAGAACGAGACGTCGTACGTCGCTCAGGCGTAGCTTTTCGTATCTGTCTGTGCTTTCCTATGCATCGCTGGATGATCTGTTAAGATACACTGTCTTAGAAATGGCAGAACTCTCATAACGGTCACGTGCCACATAACAACATTTCGGTCAACGACGGACTTCAAATACTACAGTGGTCCCATAAGATTATAATGTAGCTGAAAGCCATCATGACGTCATACCGCAACACATTTGTGCTGATGCTGGTGTAAAGAAACCTACTGTGCTACCAGTCGTATGTATACAAGTATAGCACACAATTATGTACAGTACGTACTACTTGATAATGATAATAAGTAACTATGTTACTGGTTTATATATCTACTCTGCTGTATATACTAGACTATATAACCTGGGGGTGTAGTTGCCTGTACCATCCAGGCTTGTATAAGTGCACTCTATGTAATGTTCGCACAACAATGCATTTCTCAGACCGCATCCTCATTATTAAGTGATACATGACTATACATGCATCTATCCATCCATTATCTAACTGCTTATTCTGCTCAGGATCAAGCTTTATAGGCAACATTTCCACTGTCGTGCAGAAAACATTGAAATTACTCAGATCAGAAGCAAGTCATAGATATTGATGTATTTACGCTTGAGCCTGTAGGACTTCCTGCAGATTTCCAAGCATCCTTTCTCAGCCGCAGTTATTACTGTTCCACATGTCCTTCCGGCATGTGCAAAAGGAAGAGAGTCCTCACTGCCTTCAAGGACACAGCTGCTAATTTTGCAACTACATTTATTTTCGGCACAATACACAGGACAGTCAGTGCACCAGTGAGCCTCAGAAACCAGTTACCGCTCAGTGTATCAGTGTACGCTGCTCGTGTTTTGCACATCACTGAAGGGCATTAGTGACAACAATTGTTATTTGTACCTTAGTAACTTGGACTTTAAGTTGGTTATTTGGCCAGAGGAGTGAGTACTTCTTTTCAATGTTCAGCTGCTTTCTGAGAGCTTGATGCTAATTATTGACTAGCTGACTAAAAGGGCTATACTTACACTCTCTGGTCAGATATCTGTGTAATTAAACCCCATAGTACAATTTAACATCCAGAGTGACACAAACCGGGACCAGCTCCAGAACAAGGTCAAAGATCTGAAACTGTATTGACCATCTTCCCTTAATTAGAGAGAGAGCAAATGAATCAGAATGTTATGACAAAAAAAGGAAACAGATGGAAAAAAAATCTTTATTGGTTAAAAGAGCCTGTTTCACAGATATGATTGGTGTCATGTTTCTTGCTATCATGCTTTTCCACACTGTACAACAGTGGATTCCACAAAAATAACAATCTGACGCTGCACTTTATGAGAAATACGTACATCCGAGTTTGCCGGGTTGCCATTCGTTTCCACCCAAATATGCCGTAACGGTCTCCCAAAGTGGACTGCTGATAGGAACTGTTTAAATGTAGCGACTCTCCACTTGCCGTTTCATTTAATAAATTAGTAACATGCATACTAGGAAACATTTGCCCCTTTTTCTGCGTAGTATTACACCCTAGCCAAAATCTCAGTGCAAACACCACTGTAGCTGAAAAAAACCATGATCTGCAGATGCTGAGTACCAAAAGACTATGATGCAATGGTAAAAAAAAAACAAAGAATTCCAACTGATGTATCATTGACTATTGTTTGGTAGTTGTGGAGCTACTCTGGCATATACCTTTTAATATATGACTAAATATTAGTCCAGCTCTATAAGCAGTCTTCTAAAAACTCACATTTGTGACACAGTTAGCTTGATTTACAGTACTAAAAATCTATCTCTCAAGCAGCAATGATTACACTGATTTTTTTAAAAATCTCTTCCACCGAAAGTAAAAGATGAAAAGCCTCTTTCTACCCAAAAAGCAAAAGAGAACGAAACTTACAAGAAATCAAGCCTTTCTGCCTCAGACACTTTTACGACACTTTTTTTAGCGAAAAGAAAAACAAGTTGTTTAATTGATTATCTGCTCTATGGCAGCTTCTAGTCACAAATCAGAGAACTCTGCTTTCAGATAAAACTCAAGACAAAAGGAAAAAAACAATAAGAAAAAACACAAATGATACAACCGACACCACATAAATTCAAAGTTTATCAGGAAACAACAGTCCACTATAATTAATAAAAAGCAACCAGAAACAACAAAAAAGATGAACATACTGCTGAAATTTGGATTATTGTCAATAAATATGCTACAGGGACTCATGGATTCATACATTATTAATATGGATATGACCTTGGGTAGTAGTCAATCTTTATCTACTGTTGGATGTCCGTCATTGATATACTAATAAATAAATATTAATCTAGGACACTGAAAGACGCCCTAAACCCTGTTTTACAAGATGGACAACAGCACAGTGAGAAGGTGGTTACAATGGGGACACAGAAGCCAAATGTTTGTCAGACCATTTTCAACGCATGAAATCAGATACACTAGTAATATTTAAGTGCAATATCTCTAAATGGAATGTTATTGTGTGGGCAAAGCAAAAGATTAAAGAAACGAAACAAAAAAAAAGCAAAACATCATCGAGACACACTCTTCTAGAGCATAGTAACAGGTAGCGAGAACTCTCACGTCCAGCGCCCCCTAGTTGTGTCATATGGTTAAAGCTCGTTAGCCTGCCTAGTTTCAACGCCACTGTTAATTAATAGTACCTCCAGCAGGGTGTAAGTATTTTTACTGTCTCTCTGTCTACTAGAGTCTCAGCCGAAGACAGCAAACGGGGAAAATACTGCCCATAAGCACGTGAGACCAACTCCTAGTGCTTTGTGTTCTGTGCCGTCTTGGACAAGCAGGGGTAGGGAGGCGGAAGGAGCCTTGGAGCTAGACGTCAAGGTCATCGGGCCTTGCCCGACTGCTAATCCGGCTGCTGGCCCGGCTACATGGCCGTGGGTCTATCAAAGCCAGGGGCTGCAATTCATGGCCCACGGTCATTTTCTTGGGATCATGGGTATCATCGGGGAAGTCAAAGGCCTGTGCGTGGGAGTTGGAGATGGTGCTGCCGTTCTGGCCCAGACGGTTCTGCTCGGTGCTGTAGTTGGCCCAATTCTGCTCGTTGGCTTGCTTGTTGTAATTGCGGCAGGAATTGGTCCTTTCTCCGGTAGCCAATTTGTAGCCCGGGGGCGACATGGGGGACAAAGGGGCTGTAGGGGAAGAGCAGCCATTGTAGTAGGCGTACTTGGAGTTGGTCATTTCCTTGGGGCTGGGACTCAGAGTGCCGCCGGTGTGGAACTGGGTTTGTTTGCCCTTCACGCGATCCTTGATTCGTTTGAAAAAGACATAGAAGAGCTCGATCACATTGAGGAGCAGGGAAACCAGGGACACCACCAGCATGAAGATGATGAAGACTGTCTTCTCGGTGGGCCGGGAGAGGAAGCAGTCAACCCTGTGTGGGCAGGGGATCCTCTGGCAGGTGTAGACGGCACTGAGGCTGAAGCCATACATGTACCACTGTATGATCAAGAAGCCCACCTCGAAAAGGGACTTAAACAAAATGCTTACGACGTAGGTTCGCAAGAGAGCGCCCTTCATTTTCACCTTCCCATGTTCTTCCAGTCCATGCTTAAATTTTTTCATTTCGATCTTCTTCAGCGGTATGTCCACATCGCCGCCGTCGTTCTGCACCGCCTTCAGCTCTTCCTCCTTCCTGTTGAGCTTCTCCTCCTTGCGCATGAGATAGAAGACATGAGCCAAGTACAGGAGCGTCGGAGTGGAGACGAAGATGATCTGCAGCACCCAGAAGCGGACATGCGAGATGGGGAAGGACTTGTCGTAACAGACGTTCTCACAGCCGGGCTGCTGGGTGTTGCACTTGAAGGCCGACTGCTCGTCCCCCCAGGCACTCTCCACCGCGGTGCCCAGCACCAGGATGCGGAAGATGAAGAGCACCGACAGCCAGACCTTCCCCCCGGCTGTGGAGTAGGCCTGGACCTTGTCAAGGAGTCTTCCTAAAGCGCTCCAGTCACCCATCTCGATGGGTATCTAGCTGGAAATAGACATTGAATTTTGGACATTACCCAAGAGGCATCACAACATGGACACATTTATGCAGTCAGAGGCTTTTCAAAACAAACAAAAACAGACTATTTTCATTTCACAACTACCTTCTGTCAATCCCCCCCCCCCCCTTAAACTCCGTTTGCACTCAACCTCACACCTTATACCTTGTACAGTGGGTTACCCATGTGTGTATATTTCACATTTTATTTCATGTATAGTGTAACTTATTGTTTGTATAGTGTCATTTATTGTCTGTGTACTATGGAGTCTCAAGCAGTCGGAAGCAAATTCCTTGTGTGCCCCAACACATGGCTAAAAAAGCTGATTCTGATTCTATATGTATATATATGCATGCACGTACATATGCATGTATATAAATGGCCATATGGTTTATTAACAAGTCAGAAGAATGTGAGATGTAAAAATGACAACCAATGATGGTGGCCCATTACTGGGGAGTTGTGTGTGTGTGTGTGTGGGGGTATATATATGAATGGAGGAAGTGTGAGGAAATGTGAGGAAGTGTGAAGGGGGGGGGGTACATAAAACAATAAGCAGTGTCAATTAAAATTGATAACCACAACCAACAAAAATAACTTCCATTACATAAACTACAGAAAGCTTCCTGTCTGATAGCCCCAAACGCCCTCTCATGATCACGCTCAATTTGACCTTTTCCTTCCTTTTCATAAATCAATTCAGCACTTAAGCTGAATGGGCATCATGTGCTGCCTGCTTCACTTAGGGAGGGAGTGAGACATCTTTCAGTTATAAATAAAACATGCACCCTCTAGAGGGAAATTGAGTTATATGTCAGTGTCTTTGCGTTTGGAAATAACATGCCCTCGGTAGCTTCTGGATGCTTTCGTTCTGTAATCATGCTAGCAAGCTCGTATAGCAGCGGGGAGAGTTTTCCATCTGGCGCCCTGGTGATTTCTGGCCACGTCGGCTCCGAGCGTTTAGCATTCATTCGGATGCAGGCAGTGTCTTCCGGAGTCTTTAAGACGTGCCGGGGGCTGCGGCGCATTCACGCCCGGCCGGGCAAACAGAAAGCACGGCCTCGTGCTCTTGGCAGCTCTGCGTCTTCCGCGGATCAAACGGAGCTGCTTCCTGATTCCAATGCCGGAGAACGGCAACCGGCCGGAATCACGGGTGTCAGTGTGCGAGCGCGTAGGATGCGGCGGCTGCGCAGATACGCGGCGTCAGACCACCGGCGCTCGCTGCGCTCCGAGTAGCAGCTGGTCTAGACCTAACATCCCTCCGAACTGCTATGCGATTTACTGTCAAGGTGAAATGTACAAGACGGATAAATTAATCCTAAGATGTACTTCTGGATAACAAATGAACTTGAACCATTCAATAACCTTCTGTTTAATTCATGAAGACCTTAAGTGTCCTTATAGAGTAAGAGGTCAGTTGAACCATCATGAGATATTGCCCCCTTACTAATGCCCTATGAAAGGGATTATTGGATTTCAAAATGAAAGCATGAAACGTGTTCATTATAACATTAACTGATTACTGCATTTTATATAATGCAAACCAAGTGAGGCATCAATTGATGATACATTGAGAACTGAATTTATCTGTTTTTCACAAGATCTCTTTTCTTCCCCTTCAAAACAATGAAAAGAACTTCATTTTAAACAGGTCAACTTTTCATCGGTTCCTAAATGTATACAACGCAAATAAAATCTCATTCGCATTGATACCCATTAGTGCAAGGCCTCTGATTTTTTTGGTGCTATTATAATATTAAATTATTTTGCTAATCCGTATATAAGATACGCGTGTTTCATAGTCATTAACAATAAACCGTGTAAGACTCCCTCGCTTAAAAAGCGGTACATTAGCCTTCCTACAGACGCAGTGAAACACCATAGCACGAAATATAAAGAGCCAACATTAAGAAGAAGACCATGCAGATAAAGAGTCATTGGCATGAGGCTGGAGGAACCCGGTATCTCCGCTTCTCTCTGAATATTCGCAGTAAGAGCCAAGTTTAGAAAAACACGCCAATGGAGGCGGCTTCTCGGTGCGGGACTAACGTCGTTTGTCGGGTCTTGGTGATGCAGTCTCTTTATTTAATGAAGTTGGTAATGTTTGACAAAATAGCACAAGAAATATATCAAACTGGAAATACTGAATACTCCAATGGGTGTTCTTGTCTTTTTCTGACATTTTTAAATCTCTCAAGTTCAGCTGCCCGATGAATATTCAATAAGTTGATACATATTTCTTTTGACCGTGTTATTAAATCCACGTATAAGTGTTTGCCTTTGTACCATTTAAACTTAATGAAACTTGTGTCGAATGTCTTTACCTAAGGAAATGAGGTATTTTGGTCACAATTTTTTTTTATTGTAAAATACTAATTGATGTAACAGAATACTATAGATATTTATAATATGTAATAAAAAATATATAATTCTAAAATAGAAACAAATTTTAAAATACAAAAGTTAATTTTAATGCTTAATAGCAGAACAATCATCTAAGCGAGTAAGTTGCGATGACAATCTGCCACAGTGTAAAAGTTACTAAAACAAGTGTTAACGTTTGTCTTAAGAGTTTATTTATCAAGAGGAACTTTATCCTTTAAGCATCTTAGAAACGCTGGCAGTAACTAAAATACATTTTATGCATAATAACTTTTACATACATAAAAGTTCGCGATATGCAACGAAACTCTTAGTTTTAGTTCAATCTTACCTGGAAAGTTGCTTAGAAGTTAAGGGAGACAGCCCAGAGGGACTTACTCCTTGAACCGATTTAGACCACTCACTGTTTTCTTCAGATCCAAGTTTGGGACTGATGAAAAACTGAGAGAAACTTGTAAAACTTTCTTTGCTTATAAGAGACTTTATAGGGGCTTGGGGGGGGTGAGGTCACCTGATTTCCTACGTCAGACGGTTTTTAAACCTCCTTTCACCAGAACAATTTCTCTTCAGACATGTTTTCAGAACAGAACGGTATTTAAATTGACAACAAAATTAAAGTGTTTGTGTCTCAACCACCAAACTAAACGTGTTATCACCGTAATAAATGAGTATATACTTGTATATGTGTATACATGTACGATATACTCGAATTATTTTAATGTGCCTATTGCGCCATCTAGTGTAAATTCAGTAAAATCAATTGTCTTATGCTTGCTGGTGTTTTCAATGGGACAGTCGTCACCCATAACTTGTGTTCACGTTTGTATCACCCATCCTCAGACTTTATTGCAAACTTCATTGGCAAATTCATTTTTTATAAATTCCGCTAAAAACAAAGAAGTAAGAAGTATTTTACTGCGGTCAAGCCAAAGAAGTATTTTCAAAATCTTATCGTATTCTAAAAAGAATAACAGAACTTTCTCGTGCAGCTTTGTGACAAACTGCCTGGATGATTTATGATTTAACATTTTTCATTGACAACCTTCTAAAAATTGCGCAGATAGTAATCGCGGTTTATATTACGTTGTTAATTCTGTAATATTAATAAACAGGTGCATTAGTTCAGCAAACATTGTTGATTTGTGTGCTGTGTGTTTCTTTTTCTCTTATAAATGATTTGCTGCCATCTGACAAACGGAACAGTGGCAATTGTTTTGTTGTCCTCGAGAGGGCAGTGTTGTTCTAGTGTGTGTCCTTGGCTGGTGACTGCAGAGAGAACCTCTATGACAGATGTTCATCTGCTCCTGACTTTGCAAAATTTGTCTCATCTCTAAATTTGACTGTCTACGGTAATTAGTATTATTATTAGGTAATTAGTTATTTTTTTGGTTAGCCCTTAATTTTATGTTTTTAATATCAGTCACAGGGTGGTATGGTAGTTAGCACTGTTGCCTCACACCTCTGGGACCAGGGTTTGAGTCTCTGTCCTGGCTCCTTGTGTGTGGAGTTTGCATATTCTCCCCGTGTCATCATGGGGTTTCCTCTGGGTATGCAGGGATTCCCCCCACAGTCCAAATTAGGTTCATTAGAGTTAGTATTCTAGCTGTGTGTGTGCCATGTGATGGGTTGGTGCCTCATCCTGGGTTGTTCCCTGCCCTGCACCCTCTGGAATTGGCTCTGAAATCTCTAAATGGGTTTAAAATAAGAGTTTCGGAGTGGCTTACACAAAGGCATGGTGCCTGATGGCCACCTAAATTGGGTCTGGAATTCCCTATATCCCATAAACACACAAAGAACATGGCTTGTTTTTGCTCTGATGTTTATTGTTGTCTGTGGGGAAATCTGCATGCATGAAAGCGCGGCGTATCTTCAAATTAGCGCAAAAAATGAAAGATCAGCTCAAACATTACATAAATTGACACAGGTGGCGTTGCACTGCGTTGTTACTGGCCGGGTTGGAAATTACATTTTGTGTTTTGTAATCGTACAACTAAAGTAAGAAGCGAAGAGCTTATGCTGGGAACTGTTTTTAGGTCTGTTTGTTCAGTTCTTGTGTTTGTAAGATTGTGAAGCCCAAAGCAAACAGGTGGCCTGTTTAGCCAGGATTTAGGGAAATTGCATCATGTGCAGTGATTTTTTTTTTGTCTAAGAAAAATAATGTTTACGTTTCATGTGGCTTTCCATTGTGTCTGCACACTTGTAATTAACAAAAAACCACACACAAAGAATGAGATTCCAGCTTGTTAAAGTCAAGCAATTATTTATGAAGTTAAAGAATAATTTATAAAGCATTAAGACAGATGAATTTCAGCAGTACATATACAGTATGTATGTAGCTCCTACATTTTTCTGTGATGATTCAATACCAGGGCACTAAATATATTTCTATAAAGACTTATATGTACAAAACACCTGGAGAAAATAAAAAATAAAACTTTTCACTACTACATATCCACCTATGAGAATGTGATCCTAAAAATGTACATCATGAAACATTAGTGTGTATATAAGTGTGATCACAAATTTCATACTTCATACTTTCATACTTTCAATTGTTTTTCATCAGCTACTTTAAGTGTGTCTTCCGTTAACACGCATTGGGGTGCCCTTTGTTTTTCTTTTTGACCCACATCTGGAGCAAATCAAGTAAAAAATCTCCAGTACATTCAAAATCAGAGACACACAGGCCATGACGAGCATGAAGATGATGAAGATGGTCTTTTCTGTCGGCCGAGACATGTAGCATTCGACGTGGAAGGGACATGGAGATCTGGAGCAGACAAACATGGGATCTAGCATGAAGCCGTAGAGGTAGTACTGGCCCACGATGAAGGCCGTCTCAAACAGGATCTTGAAGAACACCGAGGTCAGGTAACTGCCTAAAAGATTCCCTTTGAGAGCCACCTTTCCATGTTCATCTGAGTATTTGGGCAGCTTTGGGCACTGGTTCTCTGGGTGCTCCTCCAAGTGCATTCTTAGCTTTTTCTCCTTATGCACGACCAAGATAACGTGTCCCAGGTACATCAGGGTTGGCGTGGAGACGAAGATGATCTGCATGAGCCAGAAGCGGATGTGGGAGATGGGGAAGGCGCGGTCGTAGCAGACGTTCTCGCAGCCGGGCTGCTTCGTGTTGCAGATGAAACCCGACTGCTCGTCCCCCCACACCTTCTCGGCTCCGGTAGTCAAGACCAGGATCCTGAAGACGAAGAGGACGGTGAGCCAGACCTTCCCGATGACCGTGGTGTGGGTCTGCACCTTGTCCAGCAGACGGCCCAGGAAATCCCACTCACCCATCGTTCTCTGATTGATGGCACTGAAAAACAGAGGAAGGCGGCTTTCTTTAAATTAAGGACTCACCAAACTGCCAGAAAACCAACAGTCACACTGACAAATATGCTTGTTGTGTTATATCCAACTTCATCCAAAGTCACTAGTTGATTGCTTTTAGTGTCCTGAGGGACACTCAATTCTTGCTTAGCCGGATAACTTGTCAGATTTAAGGTAGTCTGGGCTAAATGTAAGGGAACGAAAATAAAGTCCATTTCACCCAGACTTCCTTAAATTTAAAGTTATCAGGCTAAGCAAGAAATCCTCCTACATGGAATAACCCACCTGGTTAATTAAGGTAACTCAACATTATGTGTGGTAGAAGTTAATTTTTTGTCTGTAACACAGGGCTTCACCGCTAGTCTGTCAAGTTTCTTTGAGTGTAAGACCTTAAAACATAAAACAGATATAAAGACTATGATACAGTGCAAGCAACTATATAACAACAACAACTATAATAACAATAATAATAACTATAATAACACCTTGATTGCTAGGTAAGAGATGTAGAAAACAAGATAAAATCTGCCGTGAATGTAAGTGTTGTATTAAAGAGAATTACGTGAACGATATACCTATACTGTACACATATGTAATGCTTTATTCTTTGTTTAGGTTCATCCAACAAAATACTGCATATTCAGATAAGTTTTATTCTGTCCATTTTTTCCTTTTACTCCCCATTGAAATGTATACGGAATGATTCGTTTTGAAGTTCATTCCCTCCAAAGCTTCGCAGAGGCAGCACTGGCCAAACCACAGACGACCTGGCTTACCTTTAGACAGTGAAGACCTTCACCAAAGCTTGTGACTCCACCTGCTACTGCAGCCAAATGGGCACTTACCAGCAACCGGCTGTAATCTTCACTTTCTCTGGAATTGCACAATGCTTCCCAAGAAACTATGTCGTTCCTGACAACCGCAAATTATAAATCTGGCAGGAGCCAATAGCGCACGCAGTGAACTGCTCCTCGATAGGACATTAATGATTGACAGGCGTTCTGACAGCCTCCATAGAAAACAGCTGAAGAGTAATAGCATATATGGCACGAACGTCACGATAGCACCAGGGTCAACCACTTTCCAAAGACTCAGAATCTTCCGGTGCTGCTGAAATATAATCAGGTTCCCGCAACACAAACACACCAACTAAGTGGGCCAGCCGTTTCTGAGAGGAGCTCACGTTGGGTCCAGATATTCAGGGCTCAGTTTACACTCAAACAAACTCCTATGATTCTCCGTTGGTGTTGGCAGGGTGAAAGATGCAAGTGCACTTCATGTGAATGTGCAGGTTCTGCCATGCTGGGAAAGAGGCCACCGTGGTAATACATGCAGCTCCGCAGGTTTGGGATGAGGTAGAAGCATGCTTGGCAGGATACGGTGAGGCTCTTTGGGTTTGACTCTGGCTTTTGGACTACATGACTACGAGTCTAACTCGTTTTTAGAAACGACATAAGCCTTTGGATATTCGATGTTTATGCTTTTTAAACCTTTATGTAGTGTAATTACATATATATACTTCACATACATATACTGATACAAATAATCACAATGCACATCAAATAGACTAAATTACATGGATAAATAAAAATCAATTTCTGACTTTGAGATACATACAGGCATTGATTTGTCCTATTGAGAAAAATTTCCCTTGATACATCATAACGCATATGGGCCAATTTAACATCAAGCTCAGCATGTCACATGATCTGAGATTGATGTGGTTGATCTTATGCTATGCTGTGAGGGCAAGTCTGTCCATCCTCATTCTTCAGATATACTTTGTTGGATAAAGTACTCTGGCGACTGTCTCCGGTCAGTGCAGTGTGCAAAGTGGTCGTGTATTTCTGCTTTTTTCTAGATGAATCCTTCAGCCTTGAGCAGATTAAATAAAATATCTCCATTACATTCAACAGCAGAGACACACAAGAGATCACTAGCATGAAGATGATGAAGATGGTCTTTTCTGTCGGCCGGGACAAGTAGCATTCAACGTGGAAGGGGCAGGGTGATCTGGAGCAGACGAACATGGGCTCCAGCATGAAGCCGTAGAGGTAGTACTGGCCCACGATGAAGGCCGTCTCAAACAGGATCTTGAAGACCAGGTTCACCATGTAGCTCCCCAACAGGTCTCCCTTGATCTTCACTTTTCCATGGTCATCTGAGTACTTTGGCACCTTTAGGGTCTGCTCATGGTTTTGTAGATGAATCCGCAGCTTGTTTTCCTGGTGAACGATGAGCAGAACGTGTCCCAGGTACATTAGGGTTGGCGTGGAGACGAAGATGATCTGCATGACCCAGAAGCGGATGTGTGAGATGGGGAAGGCGCGGTCGTAGCAGACGTTCTCGCAGCCGGGCTGCTTCGTGTTGCAGATGAAACCCGACTGCTCGTCCCCCCACACCCTCTCGGCTCCCGCACCCAGGACCAGGATCCTGAAGACGAAGAGGACGGTCAGCCAGACCTTCCCGATGACCGTGGTGTGGGTCTGCACCTTGTCCAGTAGACGGCCCAAAAAAGTCCAATCTCCCATTTTTCACTTTGCAGTCTGTGGGGTTCCACCTAAATAAAAGAGAGCGTTTGCGTCTCAAAGTAGACCAAAAACATTCTGTTATTGTCAATAGGTGACTAACATGACAATTTATTTATCTGGAATTGAGCAAATAGCTATACGCTAATCTGAAATTGTTTTTTAAAAATCAGACATTTTTTCTGGAAGTCCTCAAGTTTATTGCCCTTAAAAGAAAAACTTCACATTACATTGGTGGCCGTAATGTAAAGCATTACAGACTCTGTTTAAGTTTGGATTCATACAAATGAATGCACATTATTTGCAACTATGAGTTTACCTCTCATTTAAAGTACAAACATTTTTGTTATTAATCAGGATGTGTTGAAGGTGCAACACTGCGACCACCCAGAACTGATTGTTCTGTTTTGTTTCCTGTGGATGCTTCTGATTTATATAAAGTTACAATTAAATACCAGGGCCTGCACACATATAAAGTCAAAAGTATCCTGTGCGATTCATCCCACGTAAGTACAAAAAGAAAATTTAACCCATCGTACACTGGGGTGTAGCGCGGGGCAAGGGCCACCAGGTTTATGCTATCAGTCTGTCCAAAGAAGCCCCTGGTGTCCAAATGCAATATTAGTGCTGGAGTAACTATTAACCTTCTGTAAACTGCGCAGTCTGGCACAGGTCTGAGCTCACAAAGCGCTCAGCTCTGAATTCTTCATACGGAGACTCAAGATTTCTGGAAAATCGTTCTTTTTCTTTCGCTACCACTTCCAGCCATAGCTCATTAGCCAAATTTCTTTATTTTTATAAAAACAATAAATAAAAAATGCAGCATGTGTATATACAGAGAAGAGGACCAGCAGACCTAGACTGCAGTGTTCCGTCTCTGAATCTGGAGGTTTTTCTAAAACTCTTCAGGATTCACTAGCCTGCACCCCTACATAATCAGCGTCTCCATTCCCTCCTCCTGTATCACCTGGTCTTATGACATAAGTATTAAATATAAAAGGAGCAGTGGGGTTTACACCCACAACTCTGACCAGGATTGAAAATGCATGTACGGGTGCATTTGCTCAAAATGTAACTTCAGCTTTACATTAATTGCACAAAGCAATATAAATGTTGTAAATAAATGAATGCAAAATATTTTCTTATAGTCATGTCTCATAATAGATCACAGTATATTTAGGAAATACTCTGAGTTCATTTCAATACAGCAATATTAAATTAAATGCTAGGCAAATGATTTGGAGAGAGAGGTGTTTCAGCAAACTGTCTACAATTTTTAAAACTACTTTGCCTTCCCCATTAAAGCAAAACGTTACTCACCTCCAAGTCTTCACTGTCGAGTGTCAGTTGCTAGGTAGTTGTGATGAATCTTGTTTTTTTTTCCGAGGGGTTGCACAAGATATTCCAAAGTGTCACTTTGGCCATGGATTGTATTCTGAGGTGCGCCAGAATGCTGGGTTTATTATTAATTGACAGGACCTTGAAAAACTCAAATGAAATGTTTTTGGAAAGAGACCCCTCCCGGTCATCCGTCACCCACGTGTCATTTTCTAAAGGAAACAAACAAAGCCGTGAGCGGCTTTTCAGCCTGAATCTCCAGAAGATAGATCTCAATAGAAAATTATTCTCGCAGAGGGCTGGAAACACTTTGGATGAGATTTTAGTCACATTATATTATTATTATTGTTTATTATTATTATTATTATTATTATTATTATTATT